TCACGTGATTCTGCTCGAGCTGGACCAACGAAGCTACGGTTTGACTTTAGTTTTTTTATACTGTGGAATCATTCGTCTCTCTCCTCTGCCTTTTCAGCTTTCGTTCCGACCGCCGATTCCCCGTCCTTAGTCCACCATGAAGCTCTCCTTCGTCGTCGCCTTCCTCGTGTGCGCGCAGCTGGCTCGGGCGCAGGTGGGTGTTCTGGCTCCGTTGATTGCTTGCTGTTCATCTTTAAAAAAGAATGTCGCTTTGTAACGCCTCTTCCGTTTTTTTGAGTCTAATCTCGGTTTTTTATGATTTTTTTTAATGCTTTCGACTGTTCACTAAGAAAATATTTAACAATACTTTCTAGTCATACTACAGCGGCAAGGAAAAAATAAACTCAGAATATATATTTTTTCTTCTAACAAATTCGATCGCCAGGAATAGAAAAGAAATCCAGGATGACCTCGAAACTGACCCCCCCCCCCCCAAGAAACCCTCTTTTGAGTTCCTTTTGTACATGTTACTTATTTCCTTCCTTCGCAGAACGAGGACGAGCCAAGTGAGATTGCGCCGTACAGTGTCATCAGGACAGGCGATGTAAGTATATACACGAGCTGAGATTTTAGTGCTAATCCCGTTGGTACATCGTTGGTATTTCGTTTGCAAAGCGTTATCCTCTCTATTATTATTGTGGTTATTGTTAATATTATGTATTATTATTATTTTTATTATTATTATTATTAACGTTATTATCTTTAATAATAATAATAATAAAGATAATAACGACAATTATAATGTTATTGTTGTTGTTACTATTAGTAGTATTATATTAGTATTATATTATTAGCATTATTATTATTAACATAATTTCTATCACTATCATTATAACTAACATTAGTGTTACCATCACAATCATCATTATTATTTCTGCTACCCTCTTTATTATCATTACATCGCTAGTATAATTATCACACCCTTCTTTGCAATATTACATTCAAATGCAGAAATCCACATTAAACGTCACTCCCAGAAATAGGCAGAAATAAAGACTGAAAAATAAAAAAATAAATGAATCTTGACGTACCGCCACTTGCCCCAGGGGTACGAGGAGCGCGCGTACCCGGCGGCCAAGTGGGTGTGCCACAGCCAGGTCCAGCAGGCGGCCAGCAGGCGCAAGGACACGCGCTCGTTCTTCGCTCTCTTCCGCTACATCGACGGCGGCAACGAGGCAGGTGAGTGGGTCGGATTTGGCTCGGCTCAGCGTGGGTAGAGGCGTGCAGCACTGCCCGTGTTTGATAGCGGCCGTGTAATGTCTTCTGTGTGTTTGTCTGTAAAGGTGTCTGGCCACGTGATATTTATACCTATGAGAATGAAAAATAGATTAAAAAACATTTATTCGCGCCCCGACAGAGGCTAAGATTCCGATGACCGCGCCCGTCAGAATGAAGAAGACGCCCGTGGACAAGAAAGTCGACGCCCAGATGTGCTTCTACCTGCCCGAAGCCCACCAGGCCAGCCCACCAGCGCCCACTAACGCCGAGCTCTACATCGAGGAGCAAACCGCCTTCACCGCCTTCGTCAGGTGAGCCTTGGCACGAGAGGCAAGCAGGGCCGGTTTCGTTATGCCTTGTCTTGCAAATCTTGGGCCGGTTAGGCGAGTGTGTTAATTCTTCTGCCGATCTTTGCCAACGTGCGCCACATAAACAAACAACGCGCTTAACCTGCCTGTCAGTACGAAAAAGAAACTACATCACCAGCACCTTTGCGTTGCTACCGCTTCACCGCAGCTGTATGCGAGTTTACAGACTGTTCATAACGCCACAAACATGATTATAAAATGTACCCGAGTGCCACACACGCATGGCCGTCGTTAACGCCTCTCTCTCCGTCACTGCAGGACCTTCGACGGCTTCGCGAACAAGGAGCGCGTTTGGGAGGAGGCAGCGGAGGCCCTCAAGGTCAGCCTCGAGGCAGCGCAGGAGGAAGGAGTCGACTTCTCCTTCTTTTACAGGTATCGTATCCTTTCTCTTCTTTACGTCCCGGTTTCTTGTACCTTTTTTTTCATCCTCTCTTCCTAATTATTGCCTGTTTTGCTTTCGGTCGGTTTCAATTTGATTTCAGTCCTCCTTGCTTCGCCTCGTTCGGTTTTCACTTTCCATTGCATTTCTTTCTCTCTTGTGCTCCGGTGTTTTCTCCCGCAATACGGAATTTGTATTTCCATTTGAAGATTTTCCTCAGCTTCAATTATGATGGAATAATTGAGATAGATAGACATATAAATTGATTATTTTCATAAAAAACATATTCACATTTATCGAACGTATTGTGTGTTTGATTTTATCAACTTTCCTCTGTTCCTCTCTTTATCAGGGCTGGCTACGACCCCCGATGAAATCGAAAACCGCGAAATGAGGTTTGGTACCTGAAGAATTAAAAATGCACTCAAGGAACTTTTTTTTATTATTATTTATGTTAATCATCGTCATGCATAAAATACACATGATTATAATGTCATATGATTTTTTTTATCCTTTCTCATCTTTGTTGATCGGGAGACGCTCATGTTGTGATTTTTATCATTCAGAATGACATCATCTTCTGTTTGTGATTTGTAAAGAATATTTCAACATTGTAAAAACATTCAATATAATTGTTATTTGTCCTTATCAATATAGCTAGTATTATCATAAGGCCTTTTTTCCGGCGCCAAGAGGTGTAGTACTACAGAATCCCATGACTCCGCCCCTATTTATGGGGCGGAGTCATATATAAGCAACTGCACCTGGCTGAAGAGCGCGCGGAGCACCTCTGCTCGTTTTAAAACGAAGAAAATGGGAAGTTCAAAGTTGATGCTGTACTGTATGGTGCAATAATAGTAACTTTGATGATGTTCATGAGGATATTATTGCTCTAAGTACTAGTTTGAAAGTATTTAAGCGCGCGCGCGCGTGTATTTATGTGTATATATGTGTGCATATATGCATATATATTATATATATACATACAGAAATGTATATATACATACATACCTATATATACAGTATACACACACATATATTTAAACATGTATACACACATGCATATATATATATATATATATATATATATATATATATATATATATTATATATATATATATATATATATACATATACGTATATATGCATTTATGTATGTATATGTATATATATACATATATGCAGAAGTATATTAAAAATATACACTACTACCATGTATAATGATATAGAGTTTAAGGTTTATATGCTTTCGTATTAATTAATAGGGTTACGGCTAAGAAGAGCGAGGTTCAAATTTATCTTTCGTATGTGTACATTTTTATGCGATATGTCATGTAAGGCTTGTTACTGTTTTTCTTATATCATTTATGCTTTAATCTTGGGCAATATTCAGGCCTCCAAAAGTGTTCCATGACGAATAATATACGGGGAAGTATCTCATGTTTTATTTACAGAATGTGTTCGAATGGTCAAAAGAATATTATGAAAATTTATATTAGGTTTTATATACACATTTTACTTACCATGTATATATAATTGAACATGCTGACGTAAACTTATATATCCTTTTGAATGTAGTTGATATCAATCAATAAATAGTGTCATTTTCAAAATATTTAAAGAAGTGTGACCTTCGAAACCATTGTCGATGGACGAATGAAGAAGTATGATGGGAGGCGCTTAGGGCCCGCGCATTTTCAACTGATTTCAATAGTTTTCCGTCGTTTGATTTGTAATTTGATGTTGATAACTAACAACTTGTATTTATTGTTATTTCCTAATGTTACACCAGTAAACCAGTGATTTGTTAATTGATACAATTCAAAAACAAAATCAGATTCGTCAACTCGAGTACAATTCCTAGGAATGGGGGTGGAGCCGCACCTGTGGCAACAGCGTAGAAGCATCGGCAGCGTTCTGTCGCGATCGGCCCGGAGAATGTCGCAAATAAAAAAAACTACACCCTCTAGTGTCGTTAGACTGTTTCTTGGCACCGGAAAAAAGGCCTATAATTGTTTACACATCTTATTTTCTTCTCTGTTACCGCCATTATCATAACTGCCTCTGTAATTGTGTTCACAAACACCTTCAGAACTCCTATAATCCCGATAATTATTTGGATTTTTACATCATGTGCCTATATGGTTAAAGGAAATCAATCAATCTAATATTTTTCAAAGGACTTTAGATTTTACTTCCGTGCGGTCTCCATTTGAAGAGATCTTGTTTAATGTATTTTTTCTTAATTTCTGATTATAGTTCCCAGATGGGTGCCCGGTCTTAAAAATCAAATCAGATGCGTTATGGGTAATGTGCGCGCCATCGTGTGTCGCTTGAGGATCGTGCCACCCTGCATAAGTCAAAGCCCCGTATGTCATTAGGCTTTTGAGCGCTGGTAACAGTTCTTCATTACATAAAAAAAAGGCGGGATTCAGGGCGTATCCATTCCACTTCTTGATTTTTTTTTTTAGTGTGAAAAATACCATGTCACGCTCATGCGCTTCCTAAACCAGTTGTTTCCAACTTTTTTCATTCTTTGGCCCTGACCAATATATATTCATCTTCATAGCTTCCTTCAGTGTCATATTTTCAAATTCAGTTATTACTGGAATGGTGTAATTGTGTCAGCAGCTATTAGACAAGAAATCTTTTTGGAAAAAAAACAATTTATTGATATGTAGATACTGTAGGTGAGATAAAATTCAGTTTCATTCGTCTTCAAAATTTCCATCTTGCTCCTCGACCCGCCAGAAAATAGCCCGTGGCCCCCATGTTGGTAACAGTGTTCGAAACCAAAACCAGTTCGGACAATAATCAGTTAGTGACCGATTTTTGTATACTTTTTCTCCTTAAAACGAAAGGCGTACAAGCAAATGAAGGAATGGGCGGGAGGGAGAGGGAGAGAGAAAGGGGAGCGGATTGGTGAGGCTATTTAATGAAGGCCCAAACCTCATTGCAGCCCCCCCCCCTAACAAGGGTATAACGACTCTATCATT